CAAAATACGAAAAAGCGCCTATTCACGCCACTGCAGCCTGCAAGGTGTCGTCCGGGCCCTACTGAGCCGTCTTTGAATGCAAAAACAATCAGCGGAAAAGGAAAATATTACTCAGCACTGCCTGTGACGTTCACAGCACGACGCAGGAATTGTGTCGGTTCGATGTTTTCCGATTGCACAAATTGCCTTCCGCAACGGAAAACGCCGCATTCCGTCGCCTGTGGGCAATTGCAATCAGCATGAAAAACTACGAGACTTATAGAAGTGTACGAGTAAAAAAAAATGAAAGGCCTGCTGAAACAACCACGCATGACTGGCAGATTACGAACACATGCGGGACATGAACGCAAGTCAAAGCGAACGAGATTCTAGCACTACATTGACGCCGGGTTACACCGCAAATTCTGACTTGCAACAGCGAAGACACGCCGCAGTCGAAGGAAACGCGAATGGTGGAAGGCGCCTATTTTGACTGAAACGTTTTCCGCCGTTCGTGTTTTTTTTTTTTTTTAATCGCGATTGTACGTACCTAACAAAGTTGCTTTCGGAGTCTGCAATGCACGTGCTGTAGACCTTCCGGACTGTGGAGGAAGGTCTTCTCGCCTTTTCACATGAATTAAGCTAAAATTCTTGGAAAGAAAAAAAATTGCCCGCAGCTTCCCTCGGGGGAACACTGAGGAGGATGCGGAGCATATAATTGGTTAACGGGGTGTTAAAGTGCGACTTACTTGGGTCGATGGCTAAATTGGTTAACGTGGTTGTGAAATGGGGTGTTAAATTGCGACTTACTTGGGTCGATGGCTAAATTGGTTAACGTGGTTGTAGGAGGGGGTGTTAAATGAGTGAACACGTACACACGTATGCGAAAGGGCGGCGCTGGTCGAAGGGACGTCGATCATTGTGTTTGTGGATTCGTTGGAATTCATTTCACCGCGACCTTGGACGTCGACGCGCCGTACAAACCAACCGACGAGCGGCAACTGAGCGAGCGAGCGCCGACCTTGAGTATATATACAGCGCGACGGCGCATGCACTGTCAGCTGTCGAATGTTCGAGAAGGGGGAGAAGCGCAACGGCGCATGCGCGCGCGTCAGCTGCCGATGTTCTCGAAGCGCGACGGCGCATGCGCGCGCGTCAGCTGCCGATGTTCTCGAAGCGTGACGGCGCATGCGCGCTACATTATACAGCTAGCGAATGTTCGTGAAGAGAAGCGCACGCGGTGTGTAGAGGAGGAAGGGTGCACAGATGGTGGAGGAGTGAAGCGCGCGCGGTGTGTAGAGGAGGAAGGGATGCACAGATGGTGGAAGAAGGAGGAGGAAGCTTGCGGACGGCGCCGCACTACAAGTCTCGAGTATTAGATGCTCCGCATCTAAAAGCGCGAAACATGCTTACAGTCAGACCCGGCTTGGGAAGTTTCGTGTTTGATTTCCGGAGCGTCTGCTCGCGTGGCAGTATAAGGTGTCGTTTCGCAGCGCTTTCAACAGATGGCATGGCGCGCTCTTGAATATGGAAACACGCACTCAGCTCGCTGTGTTCAAGTGTGTGGCCGTTCGTACTTGTGTGTCTTTCACCGCCGCCTGTCTCCATGCAGCGACATCGATATTCTGGTAACCTCCACAAAAACGCTTGTTCTACATTATCCTGAGAATACAGATATTGGTATAAAGGCTACGAAGGGAGTATAAATTATTTTCTCTTTTAAGTGTAAATCTTAGGTTTAGCTTATACAATATTTAAATGTACTAACAAATTCACCAATCTAACCAGAACGCGCGTACAGGCCTTCTTACTCTAATATACTGTTGACGTTCCAGCTTCATTCGGCTTCATAGACTCATTGTCGGATTCTTTTCCTCACTACCCACTTTTTCGCGTGAACTTGTGTTTTTTCTTAGGGACGGCTTTCAGCTCTCCCGTAGTACAGTACTGTAAATCGTTAACCACTTCTTCTAAACACACTCACTACCCACTTTTGGGGACGGCTTTAAGCTCTCCCATAGTAGAGTACCTGGTACTCTAAATCGTTACCCACTTTTTCTACCCCCCCCCCCCCCACACACACACATAGCTTAGGAAAGGCTTAATGATCTCCCATAGTTGAGTACCAAGCACTAAAACCGTTGAACATTTATCTAAACGCATACGTGCAATACTACTGAAGTCTCTGTCAAAGAGCGTATTTTTGTCGATGCGGCCTCATCAAGGGTGAGGCCGAAGGGACGACTTTCAGCTCTCCCATCGTAGAGTATCGAGTACCCTAAGTCGTTAACGACTTTTTCTAAACATACATGCACCGTAACCGTCAAAGTTTCCACCGATGGTTTCCTGGAACGGCTTTTTGCGCTTGCATAGTGTAGTACCAAGTGCTCTAAGGTATTAAACACTTTTTTGAACACACTAATGGATGGCTCACTGCTCTCCCATACTTGAGTAAAGTACTCAAAATCGTTACGCACTTAATTCTGTATACATGTTTCGCTGTTTCTTCTGTGTATGTACAAGTAACAAGTTACGTGTACAACAAAGCTTTCTTTCTTCGATTCTTTGAAGAACAACGTTTCTTTATTCATATTTTCGTAGCAGCACATAGTGTATTATTGAAGTATGTTTAAAATTGCGCCTAGCCCTTGTAAAAATTATACTGACGTCATTCTGAAGTATTTGGTGTAAAGATGCCTATAGTTTGTGTTTTCTGGTTTAATAAACACTCCTTTAACCTCCGAACGTCGCAGATCGTCCGCGTTGTGCTCATGGGGGTGCCTTTGACGCTTAGTTGCTTTTGTCTATGTATGAAACGTCTGCTGGTGCTTCGTAATAAGAAGAAAAGTCTTCACGGACCCTGGTATTAGGCACTGATTGATCATGCTATCTCATGACGTCAACGTTACAAAACTCACAGGGAATTAGTCTAAGACGACTGGAAGGCGAAAGCCACCTTCTTAGTTTTCTTCACAGTCGACGTATTGACCTTTCTTCGCCACACCTCGGTAGCTTCCTGCACGTCACCTGGTGTTGCACTTTGCAACCGGGATTACGTCGTGTGATGGCGTCATCATGTGGCGCCGCTCTATGTAAAGTCGTGATGACGTTTTTGTATGTATACGTGCATCCCGTGATGATGATTCTTTGCATCCCCCATATTGACTCTGATGACAACGACGATGGCCAGTTTTCGCGCTTCGTGAGGCATCTTGAGCCTTTGCCTAAGAACGGAACAGGACTTTCGGGTCATAACATTATCCCGGGTAAAACGTGCAGTATGCCTTGAAGGTGACAACAATCTGGGGGGAAACAAACGAAACACGTAACATTTAAATTCGTTATAGTAGTTCATTCTAACTTATATGACAAATACATTAATTAAAGCACTGGAAAAAATCACCTACTCGACTAATCCCCTGCATTGGGTATGAGCCATCATGGGAAGAAAAAGAAGAAACCCAAAGGAAGTGGCCCACTGTTTTGGCAGATTGGCGAAATATGAGTCGCGCTGCTTGATAGCTGCAGTACAACGGGCCCGCAGACTTCGGCAGAAAGAACAAAAAAATGAAGGAAATCAGACCTAGGAAAACCACTATGTCAGAAGCATCTACGCATCTTACCCCATAGAAGATAATGAAAAGATCAACTCACTACTCGACCAATAACCTGCATTGGGTATGAGTCATATAGTCAATGGTCAACAACAAATATCGAGGTCTTAGTTCGTTGGTGAAATAAAAATATAGCTGTATTCAGTGGTTGCTCAAGCTATGCAGCTGCCTTTGGCAACATGCGAGCATCGAAAGAATGGAATTACCTGCTACCACACAAAGGGCTGACCTCAGTATCCTATACCGCGGGAACGCACTTCCTCTCAACACTACAAGTTCTGTAATAGCGAGAAGCGAATGGTGTTCAGCTCCAGTGGAAAATGAAAAACGGGAAGGCTTGAGAAGTGGTTAAAAAATGCGAAGAAATACATAATCACAGCGAACTTCGTGAAGAAGCGATGGGGAGGCGAGGACTAGTTGGAAGAAATGTGTTGCTTCGGTTACGCTTGTATGGCAGTATAGAAGACTGGAAGGCACTTACGGTCGTTGCAAACGATGCATGCTAAGCAAAAAATAGCACAGTCGCTTTTATTACACTAGATGCTACGGAATAAAAGAATGTGGCGACGTGAGCAGCCCTACTTTTACTATCTCCGAACTTGTCATTGTACCTCGTTCAACAGTGTGCCTCAAAAGGACACTTATTTACTTTCGCCGCGTCTAACCTAAAATAGCTATACCATGGAGGAAAGACCCAATGATATCGTTGCATATGTGGCCTGTGGCTTCGCTATGAGGAAGAGGCACAATGACTTTGCAGCTTTGTACGACCAAGACACGACAGAAACCTAAAGTTGTTACGTAATGTCTATGGCATGTAGTAGAAAACTTGACGTTACCAAATATGACTGCATTTATTATAAAATAACTGCCGGATTTTAACGTGCCAAAACCAGCGTATGATTATGCAAAACGCTGTAGTCGAGCGCTCCGCAAATTTCGACAACCTGGAGTTCTTTGACGTGCACCTAAATGTATATGTACGCGGGCATGCAGCCGCATCGGAAATGCTGCACCATGGCCGGCATTCGATTCCGTGACCTGAGGGTCAGCAGTCGCGCAACATAACGACTAGACCACCACGGCGGGTAAAAGGACGTTACGTGAGCCTCTTACAGGTACTTCAGTGCGAGAACTATACAAGCCACACAACAATAGTAGCAGCTTTCATTCTAAAGTAATGAATATTTAGAATGAATACTTACCAACTAGATCAGATTTCTATCATTCGGACCACTTTAATTCAAGCATGGAAAGTACGCAGTTAGAGATTAACATCACAACAAAGATAATGACACTGTTTCGGCCTGCTTTTCTCGTAACGTTCCAAGCACAACGCCCGTGCTCGTCATGGCCTTGGTTAAGGTGCTTATGGAGTCCAGGTACAGTATCACTTTGGCTGCTCACTCTGGCTTGAGCTTGGCTCCGAGGCGCCTTCGCCGCTTGTAGACCACGAGTGACGCGAGCACGATGCAGAGGACGGTGAGCACCACGAAGCACAGGCCCAGCGCGTGGAAGTCCACCTGGCAGTGGCGACAAGATCGGCAGCGCAGCGCCACTTGTCTTTCTCGGTTCCACTCGACCATGAGCTGGTGGAAGTACCCCATGAAGGGCTCCATCGGTCGTTCCGTAGGTGGCATCTTGTGTCCAGAATCGGAGCTGTATTTTGAGATGACTCTCTGGAGTAGCACAGCGACAACTTCTATTGATACGCAGGGCCTCGAAGCTATCGCAGTGAGCTTAGCGACGGCGGTGGATTTAGATTGGATACACACGACAACGATGATGTCTAAAGCGATTAAACGCCGCAGGAACCAGTCTCGTGGAGATGATAGTGCTACCTTTATTCGTTCTAGTGGGTCGTGGTCATGACAGCCACAATATTCTGAAAGCATTTCGCCTTGATAAGTAAATGTTAATAGTTGTTGATCCATCCGTAGCCCACATCATTATTCTCGGCTCGTTCAAGTTCAAGCCTTGAAGCCTCCTGAGTGTCTGGTATCAATAAGTATGATTTTACCTCTTGCGAAACGTTCTTTCCGTGGGTGTGCCACGACGTGCTGAGGCTTATCAACAAATGCCAGCACTAATTCTTTTAGTTCTCCGTACTGCATCCTTGTGTTTAGTTTGTGCATACATATATACTTTGTCTATCGCTCCTCATTACTGGGGAGACACCGAAATTTACAACTCTAAACACGTTTTGAAGGCCGTGATATCGACTGGTGGAGCGTTTCAGAGGAAAAGGGGGCAACAGCACTGTTCAGCAGGAATGTCGGTGCCGTGTGCTTCTGAAAAACAAGGCGACACAATGCGACATTTATAAGGTTTCTCGTTCCTCGGCAAGTACTCTCGTGGCTCGCCGTCGCCGGCGTTGAAGGCGTCTAGGGTTGGTGGCGCTTGCGCACTTTTCGAAACCTTGACGGCATGCCGCGGTCTTTACAGATCTACAGCCTGCCCGTGGAGCACGGCAGTATAGAGAACCGGACTACGTGTCAACCCCCGTGGCGCTTCGTCGTGGTGCCATACACGCACGTACGCGGAATTCCGTTCGGCGCCAGAGGGGGTCCTTCTTTATGAGTCCATTGTTTCGGGCAGAGCCGGTGTCGAGCGGAAGTAGAGGCCACCCGAAAAGGGGACTTCTTTCGTCGGGCTACGCGCGCAGGTAACGCGTCGGGCTCGTCGACGAGGAGGCCCCTCAAGGCGACTGCGCGTGGGACAAGTCGTCGTCGCCGCCGTAGGAGGATTATCGACGCCGGTGTCTCGGGGAGATGTACGCCGCGCATATTTGCATGCGTGCTGAGCCGAGAACGGAGGTGTCTGTGAGGACGTGACGGCTCTGTCCGCGCGAATAGGCGCGGCAAACGCGCTCGCTTTCCTTCCGCACGGATTAACTAATGTTTCGTGAATGGTTAGCTCGTTGGTACATGCATGACGGAAGCATGATAGGTCGAATGCTTGTAGAGCGTAAGCAAAAAAAAAAACAGCAAATTTGGGGGCTATTGAACTTCGCCTTCAAGAACGGAATGCGGTATTGTAATCGGGCCCCGTTCACACCGGCCCAGCCTTGTTGCTCGGTGGACAACTCAGCAGAGTGGGAAAAGAAGGAACATTAATGCGCATAACATAATAATAATAATAATAATAATAATAATAATAATAATAATAATAATAATAATAATAATAATAATAATAATAATAATAATAATAATAATAATAATAATAAATAAGAACACCTGCGTGATACTATATTTCGCAGCATTATTTATTATGAAACATTTTTATTCACATTAATTTCTGTTCAAGATAACGACTTTACACTGTCCAATCTGAACGAGTGAAAAACAATAACGACACTCTCTCCGTTTTACGTACGTTGCTTTTCCCTCGGTTAACGATATTCAACACTGAAAATATTTGACTAATTCATACACTAATTTATTCTTGACCAATCCCCCTTGACTGGGTATGAGCCATATTTGAAGCGGCATCTTCTTCTTCTTCTTCTTCTTCTTCTTCTTCTTCTTCTTCTTCTTCTTCTTCTTCTTCTTCTTCTTCTTCTTCTTCTTCTTCTTCTTCTTCTTCTTCTTCTTCTTCTTCTTCTTCTTCTTCTTCTTCTTCTTCTTCATCATCATCATCATCATCATCATCATCCTAATCACCACCACCGCTACCATCATCATCATCATCATCATCTCTGTGTACGCCGGAAGACCATGATATGAGTATGAGGGACGCCGCAATAAAAGGCTCAGAAAATTTGGACTATCTGGTGTTTTTTTAACGTGCAGGGGTTAGGCTCTGCCATTTTTCCTCCACCAAAATGCAGCCGTCGTGGCAAGGATCCACCTCACAACCTCCGAGTCAGCAGCACAGCATCGTACCCGCTGATCAACCATCGTGCGCGCAACGCAGGTTCTCTCAGGCGATTCTAGAATGGCAATTCCACTGCGAGTGCGGTTGCGAACTGCCCACTGCGCCGCAGTTCTTTTTTCGCCATTTGGCAAAGTACCCACTGCTTGAGTATATGGCTCAATGTATTTAAACTCACATTACTGGCTGCTTTGCAGATGCATTTGTTTATGATCATTATTAATGATGCCAGAACGCCTTGACTTGGGTAGGACTTTAAACCACCCACTCGTAGCGCAACTAATACGCTTCTGCAGCTCAATGTTGCACGTGTTAGCGACACACCTCTCACTTTTTTTCATATTCATACAGTGTTTTTTTTTTTCGTGGTGATTACGAGCATGGTCGTGGCTATGTGGTAGAGCGCCGGCTTACCGCGGTCTGGCTCCAATTCCCACTCGAACCAAATATTTCTTGATTATTTATTTATTTATTAACACTATTTATTCGATTTATTGGTCAAGCGCAACGTTGATTTTTCTCTCAAAACCAACGAGATCGACACCAACGCCAGAAATATTGAGCGACCCTTCGCAGGTTTCTGTAGTGAATGGTGAATCAATAAGGACCAACTGAGCAGTGTTGAACACCATTTTTCTTCTTTTTTTACGTTTGAGTCTCCACGATGGTGTACAACATACAAGCCCTGATTGTCCTGGCCGACAATTTGAGCTATAGTCGATTCGAGTGGTTATTAATGCAGCTGTACAGGTCGCTTGATTAGCGATTTAAACATATTTATGATAAAACCGTCGGCAACCCTATTCAGCTTTGAATGAAAAGAACTTGCGGTGCGAAAGGGCGAGGCTCAGAACATGACTTCTCGCATTTAGTGGCAGTCTTTATTTTCGTTGTATCTTTCTTGTAATTTTCTTAGCGAGCGCCACTCGTATCTTCAGATACGAGCCTCGCAAATGCATCGTGGAGCAGCTAGCGCTTTGTCGAGGCTTCTTGTTTTGGGCCGTGCCTGATAAGAGCGCCCGAGGAGCACGTCGCCGTGCTCGCGGAGCGCTCTCTTTCGAAACGCTTGGCGTCTTTTAGGGCAACACACTTTTGTTGTTGTTGTGCCCTGCGTCTTCTTTTGCTTTCTTCTTCTGTGAAGGACCACCCGCCTTTTATTGCTCGTTCTCCTGTGCGGAAAAGAAAATAACTTGTTGCATGCTTATTTACTTACTTTCGACGATAGAGTTAAAGGAGCAAACATGTAACGAGCGGGTCTCTGGCAAAGCGTCGGAGAGAGCAGGGCGTGAAGGAAATTTTGTGTTCGTTTGACAGCCGTGTTGTCAAGAACGTCTAAAGATTTTTCGCGAGATAATATCTCAGCCATTCGCGATGCGCGGCATATACAATAGTGAAACAGGCTGGCCCATGGGAAGATGCACTTGTGAAAGGGTTTTATTTTATTTTATTTTTATTTATTTAGTACATACTGCGAACCATAAACGGTCCAAACAGGAAGGGTACATCTCATAAAAAAAACAGGAATAACATGCACCATACATAATGCGATTCACTCTACTTAATTCACAATGTATGGGGATCACATAATTTGTTCCAATCAGACACTGTCCGTGGAAAGAAAGAATACATAAAGACATTGAGTCTATAAATTTTAACATTGAAAACTGAGCGTCACGCTTCTGTAGACAGGCCAGTAGTCACCGGTTCTCGCTCATAAAAAAAGTCTTAACCTAGAATTATGTTATTGTTTTATAGGGAATGTAGCTGCAGTCAGCCCGTCCACAAGTGAACTTCTCTTCGTCAAGACAGCAACGAAGTGGTTCGACGAAAAGGCCAATGGACATTCCGTGTTGAACGTTCCCTCATCGATCCAAGCATCAAACTTTCCCCGAGAATTTCGTCTTTCTTGTATTATAATGAAGTTGTGCATTAGAGAATAGTTTAGCCAATTCTGACCATGGGAATGCCATTAACGAAGGGAGCCAGCCAAAGGCCAACACCGCCTACAAAGCGAAATAAAACTGGCAGGGTCTCTTATGCATTTGCTTAACACGACCCGAATGCGGAAGCTGTATTCTTACTTTTAATTTAAATTGGTGTATTGAAACTTTAGTATTACACTGTGTGTGTAACCGTCATATATAAGACGGTGGCAGAATCTACTTTCTTATTTCTTTCACGTGAGATGGAGTAACAACGCGAGACTGCAAAGCGGCAGTCATTATTTGTAAAGTTTACATAACCGCAACTTCACGTATTTCCTGTACGCGTGCGGACAGCCACTGTGATTCCAATCACTGTGAGTATTTGAAACATTGCGTTCTCGTTAATCAATGGCTAACATATATCCTGCCGTAGCTTTATCGCAAATGTCAGGACACGATGATAAAATGCCGCTTTGTATGTTCTGGAGATTCAAACAGACAAGGAAAAATCGCCGTTGGCGCTGTTACGACATTTTTGTCCTGAGGTCCTTGAAGTCTTCGGCCGGCGAGTCTGGGGTCATTACGGGCGGCTCACTGAATTTAATTTAGCCCGCGAGGCTGAGCCAAAGAAGTGTAGAATTAGAGGCATCATGTAACGGTATTCCAGCTGCATTAATCATTCGAAGGGGGACATTGAAAAAAAAAGCTATAGCGGAAAAAATAACATGAATAAATAGTCAACGTTCGTTGCGCCATGATATCTTGGACGATAGCGGCGGTCATGGTGGCTGTGGCTTCGTGGCCTGGATGGGCGGAGCCCGTCGTTTCTTCGGCGCCGTACT